ATTTTTATATGCTTTCAAGCTGCTAGGTTGGCAGAAGCTGGGACAAGGAATGGGAGCTCATTCCATTACGCGGCACTAGGGATTTGAACCGCCGAACTTGCCAACCTTTCTGATCGACATGCTCAGCATTTTAGCCTCTGAGCCACTGGATCCCTCGATAGACTCTTGTTATTTTCTCGACAACGCTATGGATGTAATTTGCCCCTGCCTTCCAATTCCCAGACTCATCGCTAGTTTAGCAGTTCTGGCTTGTTCAGGATCCAAATCTTTCTGGCCCTCCTTAGCTTTTCAAGGATGATCAGGCACCAGTATTAGCTGTGCTATTCTTAATAAGTTCAGTCTTTCCAAAAAAAGCCACTGCAAAGAGCACACAACAGGCAATACTTCAAAAGTGATTTAGGTTCCAATCGCATAAATAGTAATCCATTAACCTGGGAATAGCCCCATTAAATTGGGAGTTCCTTTTAAATATAGTTGTATAGCAGTGATGGGCAACCTGTAAAACCCAGCCATCCCATTTGTAACACTGCAGCACCCATTTTTGTGGCAAAATGATTCTTTTTCAGTAGCACTTCTTTTTAAGGGAAGAAAGGGAGGGCTCTTGGGTTAAAGCTGCAATTTTGGCCAGTTTTTCTGATAAGAGTGATTTGCCTGCTAGAAACCTCCTATTCTTGTTTCTATCTTTATCCCGTCCTAATTTCTGCAAAAGCAGGCAAGTAATTTGCCCGTTTGAGCCCTATGGGTGATTGGGACATGGAGTTGTAGCCTTGAGCATTGCAGCCCCCACCCCCACCCCACAACACGCTGCAGTATTACAAAATGAGGAAATGTATGCACAATTCTGATGCAACAGCCCTCTCTCTGCCTGGCAGTGTGATGAAACAATTAACAGATACTCTTGCACTTCCTGATTGGGAAACCTGCCACCTTCCATCAGGTGTTGCTAAAACGTTAATCCCATCAATACCAGCCAGCACACAGCCAGTGGTGTAAAATGCTGGGAGTTGTTGTACAGCACCCTCTAGAGGACCAGAAGTTTCTTAATTCCTTGCAATGCTTCACAGGCGGTGATTACAACTCCGTAGATAGATTAATTCCAGTGTCTATTTTAATGTGATACAGAAAAGCCAACCTTCCTCCCATTCGAAGGGCTAGCCCTTGCAGTGGCATATGCATTCACGTACCTATTAAATTTAAACATTAAATATATTGCCAGGTATCTAGCTTACTATCAGGGTTCAGTCTCAGCCAGTGGTTCCCAATGTGGGGCCCAGGCCCCCACAAGAGGCAATTTGATTTTTAATGGGGGCAAATTGAACCTTGTTTAAACAAAGTTAATGGCCTTTTAGGCTTTCTCCGCACAAGTAGAGTTCACGTTTTGAGTCGAGTAAGAATTATATGTCTCCGTGTGTGTGTGTGTGTGTGTGTGTGTGTGTGTGTCAGGATTTTAGAGATGCTTAGGTGGCGCATGGCCAAAAAAAAGGTTGGGAACCACTGGTCTAAGCTTATTCTACCTGTTTTCATTGATCAACCGAGCACTCATTGAATGATGGCGAGATGAAGTTTATAGTTCAGAATTCAGAACATATGCGTAGTCTTACGTTTAAGCTCTTGAAACCCTTAATTTGACAGTTATTAAATCAGTCATTAAAGCTTAGACAATGAGTATATGAATATAAATAATCCTCAACTTTAATGGCTACTCAAGTTACAATGGCCCTGAAAAGAATGACCTATGACTGTTTTTCACACTTAATGGCCATTGCGGCATCCCCATGGCCACAAAATCAAAATTCAGATGCTTGGCAACCGAATCCTGTTTATGATGGTTGCAGTCATGTGGAGTCATGTGATTCCCCTTTTGACACTTTCTGACAAGCAAAGTCAATGGGAAAGCCAGATTCACTTAACAATTGTGTTACTAACTTACAACTGCAGCGA